CTATGATTCTATGATTCAGTGTCTGCCATCTAGTGGGAAGGAATCAAATTAGGAGATTTCAGTTCATTGTCAGACAACTCTTTGGGGGTTGTTCATTAAAGTTTTAATTTCTGTACAGTGTTATGAGCCAATAGTTGCAACTTTACTTTTTAGCACCATAGTTTTAACTATTTTAGCACTGCCAATCTACCCAAATAGCCTGAATGCAATCATGAAATGAGTATCCATCACAGTGTATTTAGGTCTAATTCTGTGAAATTAGTAATCTAACTTTAAAACGTGCAGCATATTAGCGTGTGGCATTTCCAAAGGTATGACATAACCTTTGGCCTTTAAGCAGCTATTGATTTGAGTCAATATTCATTAAGCTATTGATTTAAGTTAGTACTGATTTATTGATTTAAGTAAAAGCAACAGTTCTAAGTTTTTATGAAGAAGAGAGTCTTGAGCTCCATCTCTTCAGAATGTTTCTTAGAATCCCAGAGGTGGGCAGAAAAACTCCTTTATACCCAGTCAGATGACATGGAAGTAACCAGGTACTTGTCACATTGTTTCAAAAGTTGCAAATCTCACTTTTCTATCACCTCGCTATTTGTTTTTTTCCTTCTTTCTACTTAATGTTCAGTGCTTTCATGTGGAAGACCTTGAACTCCTTAGACATGTAATTGGCTTTGTGGACTGCGCAGATAAGCTATGTAGGTCCAATGGTGTCTACAGTGTGCAATGATAAACAGTACAGTGAATTAATGACTTGCTAGGACATGCAGGGATTTGAAATACTTGTGTCAAGATAAAATAGCCTTTGGGAAAGTGCTGTTGAAGTTTGGTATGACATTAAGCAAAACTGGGAACTGTTGTGTCCTTGTTACACAGTAAAGGAGAGGTCATGGTACGACCTTGAAACGCTAAGGCTGTGTGGAACACGGGACTTCAGATCATCACATGGTTTGCATCTGCCTCTTGCCACCATTTTGTAAACCTACCAGAAGTCACTGCGTTTCGTGCAGGATAACTGGGGAATATACAACCTGTGTTTTTGAGGCCACAAGCTAGATAATTGACCATCATCGTCTTGCTTTGAATCCAGAAAAATATTTTTAAAAATTTGAGAAAGGACACTAATGAAAAGCAGGCAGATGTGTTTTGGTTGCAAGTCCATAATTAAGGCTGATGAGGAATTTGGGCTGTTAATATCCATGGTGCAGATGGCGCAGTCAAACAGAATATTGTAGAATCACAGAATGGTTTGGGTTGGAAGGGACCTTAAAGACCATCTGGTTCCAACACCCCTGCCGTGGGCAGGGACATCTTCCACTAGACCAGTTTGACCAGAAATGCTGTTCTGTCAGCTGCTTGGTATTCTTAGCACGGACAACCCAGACCACTGGACTCCCTCTTCCTTTCTCGATCCTCTGTGCATGGCTATTTCAACTTGGAGTGAGGTATGGAAAAAACCTCTGTACTCAGAATAATGGATTGGGAAGCAAGCTGAAGGAGAGGAGACACAGCAAAGTGCTGGGGCTTAGGATTTCACAGGGAGTTGTGTGACTGTGTTCTTGAGCAATTTATGGCCATGTGTGAAGAATTTCTTGCCCTATCCGGTACCAATCCTACAAAGGAGAGCTAAAAGGGGGGAAGAAACAGATGTGATGGTCTACTGAGTTCAGAAGGAAAGGCTCCAAATGATGGGATATAAAAATAAGTTCATACAAGCCTGTCATCAATATTTGATTTGTTGTTCCCAACGACTATTTCTGAGATGTGTTTCCCCACAGGGTACGCTCGCTGAACGTATTAGGGCGGGAGGAGCAGGAATCCCAGCATTTTACACCAGTACCGGCTATGGGACGCTGGTGCAGGAGGGGGGCGCACCTATCAAATACAACACAGACGGCACCATTGCCATTGCTAGCCAGCCAAGAGAGGTAAGATGTCAGTTTGTTACTAGGCAGCATACTGAATTTGTTACATATTTCCAAGGTGAACAGTTGTTTAAGCACATCCTGGCCAGGTTTAGTTTTGGTATATTGGATTAATAGGATGGCTTTGGTATCAAACACGTCAGTTTTCCTCTCACTGCTCCCTTCTGTTCTCTGTGATAAGTTAGAAAAGTTTTTTACAGCTTTAGGGTGACAGCATCGAGAACTGGCCCACGTGAAAACCTGCCTTGCTGAGTTACTCTTCACTTGACAGTTCTCTGACCAGGTTTGCTGTGTATTCAAACAAAATCCTGTACCTCACCACTGCAGTGCACAGTACTGATGGAGAACAACCTCCTATTAGTGGGGTAGATGCTCCTTCATTTCTGTGGTACGGAGTTAGCAGCCCTGCAGCTGTACGTGAAGCGTTAGCATTAGAAGAGATGGGATGTGTTCGTGTTAAAACAGGGAAAAGCTCAGTTGACACAAACTTTCATGAGATGTATTTGCCAACAATTGAAAGGCAATCTAGTGTGAGTATTTGAAATTGCCAGGAGATACAGTGTGGCTTCCAAGTAAGAAACAAGGATTTCATATTGAAATTGGATATAGAAATTTGAGAAGGGAACAGATTTCTCAGTGCCATAACTGCCCTTAAAGAAATGGATGTTGGTAATGCTGTATGTTCCAACTAGGCTGCAAATGGCATTAAATTCTGCCTCATGAATGCCTCTGGGGTAAAGATAATTTTTCCTCCTAGATAGTTTTTGCATATTTTATACATGGCTTTTTTTAGGATCTAATCATTAACCTAGTGGGGTTTTTTCTCCTTTTTTTACTGAATATTTTCTTCATAAAGTTTTACCATTTGAAGGAGTGTTTTGTTTATGAAATAGCTTATACTTCCGATAAGATCTTTCTTCTGCTTTTAATATTTGTGGAAAAATTCCTTTTAGTCTCCTCAGTCTTTTGGAGGGCTGATAACATGAATAGCATGATTTAGTCAAATCATTCTTCAATTCCATTTTGAATGCAAGCGTCATTTTAGAAAAACTCAGATCTCCTTTTACAGGACTGAAAATCTGACTTCAGATATGCTTTTGTCATACTTCCTTCCCTCTCAGAAATTTTAAATAGCTCTCAAGTAGTATTTGTGTATGCTCTAACCTTCTTCATTGCTAAGATAAATGCTGTTCCATGTTTCTGTATAGGACTAAAATACTAGCTGTTTGTCAGTTACATATTCTGACTTTAGGCACATTTTCATTACAAATATTGAGCACAGATACAGAGAAAACCAAGTGAAATTCAGCCTGTCAGATGATGTGATTTGAGTGCTCTGTCTCAAATCCACTTCATCTTAGATTTGGGGTTTCTGGTGGTGTGCAGTGATTATGAGCTTTTTCAACAGTTCTACTTTAGCCCTTCAGCTTTTGGTTAGCTGGTAGGTGTGCAGGAAGAAGCACATCTAATTCCAGTAGATGGAGCAGTAGGAATATGGGTCCAATTCTTGTTCTGTTTCACTAAACAGAGACACTATGATAAAACTGGGGTTTTCAGCCTTTCCAAACTTCTCTTTGTTATTATACAGTTCAGCTACAGTTTTCCGGATAAAACTTTATGTAGTATAAAAAGAAGTCTAAATATAATAGTCTGCAGAATTAACTCCATAAAATGAATATTACATGGAAGATGTGTCGGAAGAAACCTGTATCTCCACAGTGTACTTTTCTCTGTAGGTACGGGAGTTTGATGGTCGTCACTTTATTCTGGAGAAGTCGATTACAGGAGATTTTGCTCTTGTGAAGGCATGGAAGGCTGATCGTGCAGGAAATATCATTTTCAGGTATGAACTTGTTTACCAATGGAAAAGATTCTTTAATGGCTTAGATAATGAAAGAGAAGGAGAATCCTGTCTCCTGTGTGATGGGAAAATAATGTTTCTACTGATTTCACTTTCTTTCATATTGCCTTTCCTTTTTTTATTATACTGCTATAAAAAACCAAAATATAATTGCTTTTTCTAATGACTTTTGAGAATTGAAACATAGCTGTGAAATAAAACATTGGTAGTTAAAAATGAGACATAGCAGACAAAGTTATTATAACTGTGGAGAAATTCTGTTCACTTCAATTTTCATGTCAGTTTGGGTCCTTTTCCTTGCGCAATTAAAGCTAACCCAAGAAGTGCAGGTTCATGTATGTTAGAAGAGAAGGGAGCTGGGTCAGTCTCCTAGCCAGTCAGTGATGGGAAAACTTGATTTTATCCTTAGAAAAGTACGTTTAGAGTCAGTTTGATCTCATTGGTGCAGGGAGAGGCATCATATGAATTTACTGGCTTTTGTAGTGAAAAGTTTCATCATTGATTTGAGCTGCTATATTTGTGCTCTGGTTTGTCCTGAACTGAAGCAGGAGAGGTTTGCTAATGGTTAACGTTTGGTTTTTATTTGTTTGTTTTATGGCTATCAGATGAAAAGGTAAGTGTTGTGGTAATGAGTTGCAGTTTACTACAAGAAGATGCTGAATGATGCAGTCTGTCTTTGTGTGTATTAAAGCAAACAAGGAGTTCAAAAGCAACTGAAAAATAGGTGGAAAAAAAATACTGATAAAGTGATGGGTTTTTTTAGTGTACATATGTGGATATACACATCTATTCACATAAACTTTTATTTACATGTCTTATAGATATAATATTAAATAAAAATACTTGAAAATTAAGACAGATTTTTTTTTATTTTACTCAACTCTTGATATCCTGGCTTGCCCCCTGGCAAGGCAAGATGGTTTCTCACTGAAAACTGAGCTTTCTTGTGTGTGTGCACATGAATTTGATGGCTGCTAAACTGCTTTCCTTAGGCTCTGGAATGTGGAATAAAGAAAACAGTCTTCCCCTGTGGGCTTGTCTTTCTTTGATCCTGAGCCTCTACTGTCTGTGCTTTTACCCAGTGTCCATCTACTGTTGCTTACTTACATCTGAAAAATTCTTTCATTCTCCACAGAAACACTCTGGTTGCATTCTCCCTTTTCCCCTGCTCTTCCTTTATATCTTGTGGTCTCTCTTTATGTCTTTCCCTCTCTTTCTGGTTCCTTTCAGAAGCCTTCATGTGTCTCCCATGTTCTCACAATGCAGTTGATACTAGATACTACTTCTCTCTGGAGTGGACACCTAAAAATCTTTACTCTTTCTTTCAAGTATAACTAATAAAAGATGGAAATATCATCATCCAGTGTCTTATTCCATGTAGAGTATTGCTAGCTTAAAATAATTTGCTCTTAATAAGTAATAGTGACCCATTCTGTTTTTAGGTAAGACACAGTTACCCCATGGCCTGCAACAGAGACACATAGGCTCATCTCATAGCCTGTGGGAGGCCACAGAGGAGTAAACTCTAATAGATTAGAATATGACAGCAATATTTCTTTGATCTACAGGGTGAAAAGGAAACTGTAGTTTTGACGTCACACTACATATCGAGTATGTATGCACTGCCGGTGGGACCCTTCCATTCTTGTTTATTACATGACCTCTGGTTTTTATTGCTGAAGAATGCCTAGATAGACACAGGCTCTTCATTTACTCACATCTGTCACTGCTTTCTCAGCAGTGTGGTACTATTTATAGTGTGTTTCCCATGACTCTGATATCTGTGGAGCCAACAAGAATGGAGTGTCTGCCAAACAGTTAAGTTTGCTTAACAAGCTAGGAGCTTTTCTACATCTAAAAGAGGTAGTTTAGGTAGACTTACTTGGACCACGGGCTAGCATGAGGAATTTTGTCAGGTCTCATACGTGAAGCTATACTGTTTTCTTGGGCATCCTGAATGGCACCAGCTCCTTTAGAAAGACATTTTTTAAAGCGGGTTTTCTTTGTGATACTTTATGTTCCCTAGCTCTTTTGTTCCATACAGCATGCTGTGGCTGCTTTCCTTTCAGGCGTCTGTATGCTGAGTAGACTGTTTTGCACCACAGCTTTTGCCTAACGAGACCCGTCTCTGGCCCAGTAGATAATACTTCTTAGGCATAGTGTACCGTTACCAAGACAAATCATCCAAGACTCCCTCAGACATAATGAAATAATCCCACCTTGTTGCTGTGCTGGCTGAAAGGATGCGTATATGGGTATTTCACTTTGTTAGTCTGATGCAGACACCAGTTCTAGTTAGCAGAACTAAGTGTCTCCAGGTCTTAAGCTCTCTTGGAGCTTTGCTCGTCACGGACAACAGCAGGGAGTGACACTGCTTTTGTGGATGTTCGGCCTCTTTTGGCTCCCTTCCCTTTTCATCTGTTACCATTCTTTGGAGTTACTCCAGCCCAGTATACTTCCACTTTACAAGTGGAGGTGTGGTTTGGTGCTGATGCAAGTACACTCTTGACAAAGGCACATTGAAGGGATGACCTGATATGGCTGTGACAGCAGTAGCCCTGACTCAGATTATCGCTTCAAGTGGTTTAGCAATACATAAATTCAGCACATATCATAGAATCATAGAATCACTAGGTTGGAAAAGACCTTAGAGATCATCCAGTCCAACCGTATCTGTCCGCCACTAAACCATATCTCTCAGCACCTCATCCACTCGTCTCTTAAACACATCCAGGGATGGTGACTCCACCACCTCCCTGGGCAGCCTGTTCCAGTGTGTGATAACCCTTTCGGTGAAGAACTTCTTCCTTACGTCCAATCTAAACCTCCCCTGGCGCAGCTTGAGACCATTCCTCCTCGTCCGATCATCTGTCATTAGGGAGAAGAGACCAACACCCACTTCTCCACAACCTCCTTTCAGGTAGTTGTAGGCAGTGATCAGGTCTCCTCTCAGCCTCCTCTTCTCAAGGCTAAACAAGCCCAGTTCCCTCAGTCACTCCTCATAAGACATATTCTCCAGACCCTTCACCAGTTTTGTGGCCCTTCTCTGGACACGCTCCAGGACCTCAATGTCTTTCTTGTAGTGAGGGGCCCAAAACTGAACACAGTACTCGAGGTGCGGTGTTCTGAGGTGTCCCTTCATCTCTGCATCATTAGGTATTTACTGGATGTAGTTAGTTGGTTTAGTCTATGATGAACTTGTTTGCTACTTTTTGCCTTTGGAAGAAAACCTGTTGGGTCAGGTTAGGAATCTTATCACTGGAACACTGGACACTGTTGAGTCTACATGTCCAGAAAGATATCTTAAAATAATACAAAGGCAAACTTTGCTAGCTAGTTTCTGAATTTCTTACTCCAAACACTTGGAGTATTATTGGAAATAATAATTGGAGTACTTATTGAAAAATAAGTATAGTGTTCCTGTTTTTCGTTCTTCTGGATGATGTGTTTTCTAGATATAAGGCCTTTGATCTTTTGGAAGACTGCTGTTTCTGAAACAACTAACCCAAGAACATTCTAAATTGCATAAGCATTTATAAAATAGGGTCAGAATGAATCCCATTTACTCTTCTTAATTTGATGTTGAATTTTTTTCTTGTAACTTCTTTGCCTATGTAAAAATAATTTTATATCAGTTTCTTCTACTGGCAGAGCAGCCACTATGATTTTGAGAAAGTCTTTGGCTCAGAAAAGTAGTCATTTGCTTTGTTTCCACATCTGGCTTCCCCCATCTCTATCCATTCCCCTGGTATTTTAATTCAGCTTTTGTAACTCATATTTTTCTTCTCATTTTCTACTCTACCTAGTTTAGCATAGTTTTCCCTAAATCACTAATTGCTGCTATTGTGTTCATGCACTAAGAGAAGAATATAAATTCAGCACTGAGAGAAGAATACAAATGTAAGGTTTTGGTGGTTTTTTTAGGTTGTTTTTTTTTTCTCATCTTACATCCTTTTGTGTTTGCACAGCCACAGAGGAGACCCACAGGCAAAAGATATTGTCCCTTCTGTAGCTTATGTTAGGGGCTTCAGAGCTGCTGTGTGTTGCTAGTAAATCAGGATTTCCCCAAGATGAGTATCTTTGGGTATAATTTTGATTCTGTAGGTCTGTGCACTAGCAATCTTGTTAAAACTGCATGGTAGTCTTAGAATTTGGCTATTTAAATTCGCCACATCCCTCAAACCCAGGAGGTGGCAGCAGCATCCCAAAGTTCAGCATGTCTCTAGCACTAGGCATGGTTATCACACAAAAGGAGGAGAAAGCGTTGGAAAGTAAGGATGGTCAGAAAAAAAATGCTTCTGTGGAAAGGACATAGGAGGAAAGGAGGTTTTGAACTGTTTTGAACCTGGTTTCATGCATTTGATGAAAAAAAGTCAAGAATTCTACTTTTTAAAAGAAAAAATTTCAGTGGAAACCCACTAATACATACCTATTTTTTCTTAAATATTATGCCAAGCAGTTTTGTTTGCTGCTGAAAAATACAAAGAGGGGCTGACACAGGTCACTTGGTTTTCCTTGTGCCTAATAAAATCCGGGTGCAGATCCCCGCATGATTATACATGTCATGTGTTACTTTTATTCCGTAGAGACTCTTTTTCCTTGTTACAGAAATACTATGTGGTAATACTTAGGATGAATGCCAGAGTCTTGTAGTCAGTGCCAAAACTGGCACAGCTTTTTGAATCAAGGGAATTGGATTAAATTTACTACTGTGCAAAGTGCTATGCCGAGTCCTAGTCGGAATTATGAAGGCGTGTTTGAGACTTGAGAGGTTGTTAGGCCCTGTGCTGGCCCCCCTGTGGAGACTAATTCCATTCTTTGTGCAGTGGAATAAATGTGAAGGTACATTGTACAAAGCCCAGCTTGCTGCTGCTCTTGGATCTAATAAATGAACATATCAGTAGCATACCCAGTTTCAGTTAAACAATGTGCTGATTAAAATTCAAAAGAGCTGTGATAAATACTTTCTAATGTAGCTAACCATGATTTAATTTCACATGCATCTTACAAAATTCTGTAGTACTTCTTCATTCCTCCTATTTTTTTTATTAGTCATCTAGCTATTTGTCAAAAAGATTTGTTATGTTTATATTACAGAGATACTTGTAGTACCTTATGTCTGAAAAGTTTTTCCTTGTACTATTACAGCTTTTACTATTTTTTGTTTTTTTTTCCTCAGGAAAACTGCAAGAAACTTCAACCAACCTATGTGCAAAGCTGCCAGGACAACTGTGGTCGAGGTAGGGGATTGAAAAATAGTAAGCCCTATAACCCTAAAGTCAACAGCCCCCTTTGTTTTGCATGGTATTCTGGAAACAGAGTTCTTCTCTTGACTCATTGTGGGATTTTATGCCAGGGACAGTGGTTTAACCTGTCTCCTTGGATTGCCTGCTCCTGACATTACTCTCTTAGTGATTAGTTCACCATGGTTCCTCAGTTTATTACTGTTCATCTGATCCTGGGCAGGACTTCGTGTTTGCTGTCATCAACCTTTGAAAGGGAAACACGTCAACAGCCTTCACATTTGTTAAATAATACGTGGATGAAAGATGAAACAGTAGGCTTAGGCTGTGCTTCAGAAGATTCACGTGAGACCTTACGCAAAACTTCCTGATGATAAGGATAAATACCAACATCAACTGGGCAAATCATGAAGCTGTCGTAGTTGCGGTCTCTAAAATTTCGTGAATTACTTGAGTAATTCAGTCCAGAATGAGATACAGGCAGTTGGTGATGCCTCAAGAAAGAGGATGGACTAGATGATCGAGAATTGGCTTCCAATCTTTTTGTCCTTTTTTCTTGTTGTCTAAAAAGAAAATATAGGAGCCTACACAGGAAATATATTGGTGACTGGAGAGTTGCTAAGGCATAGCAGCATCTAAAAGATAGACTGCTCTATTAGCTTTTTTCATCACTGTGGAAAGTTTTTTTTATATGCCTAATAAAAGCTAAATATAGTTTGACAGTAAGATCAAGACAAACTCTTCAAGACTATTTCTAGTAAATTCTAAATGGAAGAGGTTTGTGTTTCTTCAGGGATTTTGTTTTGTTTTTTTGTTTGGACATTGGTGGGTTTTTTTTTTTGGGTGGGGTGTAAAATGGTACCTCAAAAACTGTATTTGTTATATAAACATTGCTGGATAATACATCTGAGAACCTTAATTATTTATTTATGTTTTATAGAACTATGGCAAAAAATACTGTAGCATTTGTCACACAACTTAGAGTGATAATTCAGCAACAGTGTGTGAGTTTTCAGAATTGGTTTTCAAGAAAGGTTTAAAATATTTTTCCATTTAAAAATGAAATTAAAAAAATCTTTCATCATTCCTTTTCCTTCTAGTCACTTGCCCTTCATACTTTGTTCAATCTGGTGTTTAGAGAATTTAAGTAGATCAAAGCCTTCCACCTACATTCTATCTCGTTCTCTCTTTCTGCTCTTCTATCCACGTGTGATAGGGTAGAATTTCCTTGTCAGTGAGCAGTAATTATGTGAAATTCTTCTTGCTATAATTCTACTTAACAGTCTTCAGTAGATCTGCTGTGAATTGTGTCCACTGTAAGTCTTGTTGCATTTTCAGTACCATTTGAGAACTGACAGGCTTTTTGCAAGATGGCACGTTAATACTACTTTGCAACTCTATTTTTTATGGAGAAATTAATGGGTGAAGAGGCATAACCAGAGTCTAGGACAAACAGATATTTTGAGCCAAATGCAATGCCTCATTGGCTTAATTTTTAAGTATCTTTCTTCCAAAATGGAATTCAGGATGTTGGTTTTGGATTCAAACCCAGGGAATCGGAAGATGATACCCCACTGTGGCATCTAGTACATCGTCAGTACTGAGCATTGTCTAGAGCTAATCACTGGGGAACTGGAGCAACCAAAACCAGTTTTGCCTGCCTCTTTAGTTAATGTTGTTCAAGACTGAAGGGTTAAATTGTCAATCCCGCTTACAGGGAGAAGAAAAAAAGTTTGTGTAGGGTAGTAGTTCAGATACTTTCTTGGCAGCAGGGTAACTGGTAATTCTGGTGACTGTTCCCAGCTCTGTTTCTGTTTTTCACCCACTGACCATTTAACTTAAGCAGACAGTGCTAGAAGTAGAGATGTGAAGCCATTCCTGCTCCTTTTCATCACACTATCTACAGGTCAGACTTGTCTTCAGAGTCATGCAGTGATTAATTGGGATTTGGAGGATAGTAGTTTCTCAGTCTGGCACTCCCATCCTCATTTTGAACATGGAGCTTTGTACCTGTTATGCAAGCAGATTTATGCTGCCAACATCTGCTTGTCTAGCACAAGGTGCCAAGCTGAGGTAGGTAACTAGGAAAAATCAGAGGCATATCCCTCTGTGTTTCTGATTTTTCAGTTGCTGAAATTTTTCCTTTAAAATGGATGCTTTAAATACACAGAAAAAGAGCCTTGTTACTCCTTGTAGCTACCCTGATGGGTTACTTATATCCCTTTTCTGCTTATTTGTATTTGTCTAGTTCTCTTCAGTCCTTTAGAAGCAAGCTCTTTTTTCAGGAACAGAACTTCATTTGTTAAACTTTATGTTAGAAGGATAGCTGCTAGGCCATTAACTTATGTCACTGTTAAGCTCAGTAAGTACTTTTTATGAATGTGCAACTTGAATTTTGGAAGATAGTTTTAATCACAGTTATCCCGCCTTGATGCAATCAAAACAAGACATGGAAAACTCATCTTTCTGTTTGTGCTTGTTCCAGCAGTTAATCACCCTCACTGGTATAAATATGTCTTTTCAGTGTAATTATTTTGGCTTTAGGTTTCATCCAGTGCTTTTACTCTCTTCTGCTAGATTAAAAACCTTTCTGAAGCTGGCATTTCCTCCCCACTGAGAGCCTTCTCAGTGCTGTTGATACGGTGAACAGATTGAGGTCTTAATCATTCTAACTCTAAAACATTTTCTTCAGCTCTCCTATCCTTTTATGTTTGTTTTTGTTGTTGTTGTTGTGGGGCTTTTTTTGTTTGGGTTTTTTTTCCCCCCTGAAACTTTACGAATGTGACCAGCTGGAGTGTCTTCAGCATGGTAACACTGCTGCCATTAATGTCAGCTGAAAAGTAGAGTTACTCTTTGGCCCTGCTGTTTCCTTTTTTCCATCCTGTACTCTTGGCTGATCATTATACAGGGTATGCTACAGCATTAGGTGCTTACACCTTGTTGATCCTTGACATACTTCAGGAAAAGTGAAATCGGTGTTTTCCAGCATGCATTCTCTAAGTATGGCAGGTATTTCTTCATCACAGATGTCAAAGTTTGTGTTTTGTTATGAAACATGTTATGTTTGAATAGACACAGTTTACCTGTTGGGTCTGGTACTGCTGCTTCCATCTTAGGATTTATTGTTTCACCAATCTTTCCCCAGATTTATTTTAGTTTCTGATCATTGATATACATATGGAATGGCACTCAGCATAATAAGATCTATACCAAAGGAAATCTAGACTACTGGAAATGCAATCTCAAGCTTATCTGTGAACTTGGAAAAAGTGGGAAGTGCACTGGGAATCAACTGCATCTTTTACCCTGTACTTCTAAGTTAACCTCAAGAGCTGTGAAATCTACAGACATGCATACCCAGTAAAACACAGGGGTTTTTTTAATGTATTAAAGCTGCTGTTCTCTAGTTTAAGCCAGCGTGGCATTTTACACTCTCTTAGTTGAAGTACAGGCAGACACTTAATTTCTATAACAGTTGAGAGGTGGCAGGCCTTGGCAGCATTTGCAGATACGGAGGATAAGGGTAGAAACCAAAAACCCCACCTCACAAACCCACAAACTGATAGATATTGCTTGCTTAAAAGCTCTCCTGTGTTGTGAGAAGTGAGGCTGGCTGTGTAGAGAGGCTTTGGAAGGAGGAGGAACTCAGGCTGTACCATTACCAGTTATGTCTGTGGCACACAGCGGAGAGTTACTGATTCTTAAAGTTCCCCTAGAACAAATTTCAGATTGAAGTGTCTGACCCCCAGCCTTGTTTCTTTTGACTAGGCAAATGGTTTTAAGTAGCTGTTCAGTACCCTTTTTTGATCAGGCATATGTTGATTGTAAACTTCTAATGAAATGCAAGAGATCTTTACTGACCTGCATGAATATTTGGGCCTGTTACATACATTTCTTTTGTTTATATAAGTGATGAGAAGTAGAACCTGCTAATATACATGATAATAAAGATGTTTGCTGAGGCACAGAAAACTGTCTGTAAAGATCCAACTGCACTGAGTCCATTGGAATTTCTACTTTAAGATGACCAGTATTGAGGGTCAAAAAGAAGTTTTCAGCTGAATTGCATGATTCCTGTTACTTGGAACGTAACCTCTGCAGAGAAAAATGTTAAATAATTCAATATTGGCAGCATTAGTTTGGCTTTATCTATATCTGAAAGCAAAATGATACAGCAGTTATTTGGGTTTTCGTTCTTCTACAGTGTTGCCTTTAAAAAATGGTCTGTGTCATCTGCTTCTCACTTCATCTTGCAGAACTTGCAGGAGTTAAGTATGCGGTCAGAGCTGTCGCTTGCTTTGGACCTGAGCCCTCATGCCCTCATGCACCCACTCAGCCTGAGGCTTTCCTTTGATTTTCAGGTCTATAAACACTTTTCTGCTCCTATTGCAAAGACATGAGTTGGGAAATTGGCCAATCTAAAAGGAACCCAGGGGTCACAAGTTACGTATGAGCCACCAGCCCTTGTAAAGGTGCAGAGGAATGGCTTGGTATGCGAAGAAACTTGAGGGCTTGTGTGGCCTATATACATGTTAACATTTCCAACACTCTGCTGATGAAGGACAGGTCTGTGGAATTCAGCAGGCAGCACTGCTGTCAGGCCCCTCAACAGACTCGTTGATTTGTGTGACGGGAAATGAAATGTGTAGCAGCTCCGAGTTACAGGGAGGCCTCCTGGATGTGTGCCTAGACTGCTAGAGCAAGGGCTGTGACATTAGGAAGCTTCCGAAGATGTGCATCTTCCTGAAGAGGCTCCTGTGAGCAGAGTCCTAGCAGGAGGGACAATTTTTGGTAATGACACCTTATTTCTGGAGGCAATTGAGACAGCTCAAAGCCACAGGAAGACACACGGTGTGGGTGTCATGACAGCACAGGAGAGATGAAGGGTGATACAAGGCCTGGGCTTTTGCTCTCTGCCATGGAGGAGTACATAAACATCCATGAACAGCCCCAAACATCCCTTAGCTGTTGTCAGTACTGAATACTTGTCCCTGGTG